CATTCTCTTACCCTGTAAAGCTACATTTTCGCCCTTTGTTTTATTCTATTATTTTTAAATTACATTTTCTATATTATAGGTCCAAAACGTATTTTATAGGAATTGCTTTGTTTTTAAATGAATTAAGAGAACAAAAGGACATTTGCAATTGTAATTTTTAAAAATATATAATTACTTGAAAAATATATACACATATGTATATAATTACTCACCTACTTACATTTATCAGTGCCCTTTGTCTTTTTTTGTGGAGTTAAATTACCAAATAGTAATTACTGTGAGAAGGAAAGTGAGAAAGCAAGCCACCATGTTCGGGATTTGAACTGCAGCTAACCATGTGGGAGTCCAGTACAACCACCACGCCACCTGCTGGCCCCATCTTCATTTTTGAGTGATATCGGGCCAGCAGGTGGCATGGAGGTTAAGGGCGCTGGACACCCACATGACTGACCATGGTCTGAGTCCCAGACCTAGCGGCTTGCTTTCTCACTTTCTCTTTCTCTCGCTCTCTCTCTCTCTCTCTCACTCTAATTCTGTCCCTCTCTGGTCAAATTTAAATAAATAAAGTTTAAAAAAGCACAAAAAACCTAATTTAGAGATACATTCCCTGGAATTAGGTTTCATGAAGAATAAGCTGGATCTCCAATGTTTTGGGAATGTTGTGAGTCTCAAACATTGACAATTCTTTCTTTGTTTAATGTACCCTGTTCCGATTTTAATTAAACTCCAAATTTTGCTTTATAAAAAAAAAAGAAGAAGAAAAATGTGGACATGTCAGAAGGGGCAATAGGATTTAATGGAGTCTGGGACTCAGGCCTTGGAGAAATACAACATAGAAAAGAACGTCGTGACCCATATCAAGAAGGAGTTTGACAAGAAGCACATGCCCACCCCCACCCCGGCCTTGCATTGGGAGGAACATCTGTAGTTACGGGAAGTTTGAAGCCAAACACTTCGTCTTCTTCAGCCTAGGCCAAGAGGTCATTCTTCTGTTCAAAGCTGGCAAAAAGTATGAACTGTGATTCACACTTTTAACTAGGGATCCATCCAAACATGAAGGCTACAGCCTAAATTCCAAATACTAGAGGCTGAAACCTTCAGTTCTGCTAAAGGGAACACCTCAAACTTTAAAAATGTATTGTGTTTTGCATTAACACAATAAAAGGCATTCTTTGTACTAGTTTATTGGTGTTACAAAAAATTAGAAAAAATAGCTTACATTTGTATTTATTTTCTATTCCACACTTCTTTGCCCTTTTTGACCTCTCAAAAACCATTTTTTTAAAAAATAAACCTGTTGGAGATGTGAAAAAAAAAAAAAGTATTTGGAGACTTCCTAGCTATTATTCTATTTTAGATTTTTAGTTTAAGTCCACAGTGACCTGAGGGCATATTTTGTGACTTCCATCCATTTATTTATTTATTTTACTTTTTGGAGAGGTTTTTGCTATAGGGTGCATGCTCTCACCAGACAGAGACAGAAAGCGAGAAATCACCCCCCCCTCCCCGGGGGGGATGGTCACGCTGCAATCCCTTCTCTTCCATTCTCCTCTTCTTTTGTGGAGTTAAATTACTGTTTGGTAATTTAACTTATTTTTAACTGGATGAATTTCCTTCATCTTGGGCATGCACGCACACGCGCTTGGCATGAGTTTAAGCCACTGGGTCCAGGACTCAAACCGTGTTCGACTACGTGGGAGTCCAGCGACATAGCCATTACGCTAACTGCTGGTCCCCACCCTTTTATTTATTAAGGTGTGTTGATTGGTCTCCTATCTCAGTGAATGTCCAGAATGAGTTTGAAAAGAATGTGTGTTCTGTTGTTGAAAGAAACATTTTATAGAGGTCAATACTGTACAGTTTACTAATGGTTCTCTTCAGTTCAAGTGTCCTTAATGATTCTGTGCCTGCTAGATTGGTCAATGACTGATTGAAGGTCATTTACATCTCCAACTTTACAGTTTTATTGGTTTTTGCCTCATGTATTTTCTGCTGTGTTGTTAGGTGAATATATGTTAAGAATTGTGTTTTCTTGGAGAATGAACCCATTTATCATCATGCAATGTCCCTCTTTAGCCCTCGTTTTCCTTTCTCTGAAATACAGCTGCTGCAACTTTCTTTTGATTAGTATAAGCATGATTTATATACTTTTCTCTTTCTCTCCATTTCTTTCCTCAACTATGTCCACTCTACAAATGACCTATCAAAAGCAGGATTTGTTCGATTTTTGGTTCTAGAATTTCCTTTTGATTCTCTCATTTCTCTGCACGGTGGATACTTTTTTTCTCCATTGAGGCTTTTAGTATATTAATCATAATCACTTAAAATTCCCAATCTGATCATTCCAACATCCCTGCCATATCTGAGTGGAGTTTTGATGCTTGCTTTCTTTTTAAACTATGCTTTTTCATTTCTTGTCTTTTACTTTTGTCAAATGTTGAATGTGATGTATTGGGTAAAAGGAACTCCAGTGACTAGGCCTTTAGTAATGAGAGGGTAATGTGCGTAGGAGCATTCTGTAGTCCTATGATTAGGTCTTTTGGTAAGCCTGGATTCTGTGACTATGGCCTCTCTCATTTAGAACAGGAAGGCTGGAAGGGGCTGGGGTTGGACCTTTCTTTTTTCCCAGTTGGCTAAGCTCTGGTAAAACCCAATGCAATTTGGCTCTAGCCATAGTTCCCCTTGAGCTCAGACTTTTGTTAAGGAAAACAGAATTCTTTGGACAGATTTCAAAAATGGTTACTTTCCCCAACTCCTGTACAAGGAGATTCTTCTTTGATATTCACTGTGAAAAACTGGTGGGAGTCCTGGGGGTTGAACTCACAAAAGCGTTACCTTCCCATATCGCCACAAGGCCTGACTTCCAGGAGTTTTTCTCTCAAGTTCGCCCATCCTCAGTCTCCAGCGATTAGTCAGTTACCCTTCAGGTCTTCTTACCCATGTTAGCTCTAGCACTGGTTTCTGGGCAGATTCTCCTCCAAGGAAACTGATTTGTACTAACCTATGTCTCCTGTTTTCAGGGCAGTTTGTTCTGTGACCTTAAGTCTCTAATGGATCAAAGAAGAGTTGTCAGTCTTCCAACTTTTTTGTCAGATAGAATGATAGTGACAACTTCCAAACTTTTTACATGTCAAACTGGAAACTGGAAGTCCATTACTCTGCTTCTAAAGAAAACGCCAAACAATTCTCCAGACACTGGTCGTACCATTTTACGTGGTATCAGCAATGTGTGAGGTCTGGTTTTTCCACATCCTTGCCAGCGTTTGGTATTGTCCCTACTTTTTTATTTTAACTCTTCTAATCGATAAGTAGTGATACATTAATGTGGCTTAAAGCTGCATTTGCCTAATAGCTAGCGATGTCAAATATCCTTTTCATGTGCTTATATGTCATCCATGTATTTCAGTAAAGTGCCTGTTTTGCCCACTTGCTAGCTGGACTGATAGGCTGTACCTTAGCAACGGGCTAAGGAATGAATTAGCTTTCCAAGAGGTCCCGGTTTGCTTATGGAAACTAAAACAGGAGTGTGGAGACTTTCTCAGGCCAATATATTTTAACAATTCTAAATATGAGCCTTTTGCCAGATAGGTAGTTTACAAGTATTTTCTCTGCTTGTAGGGTTTTTTTGTTTTACCTTTATTTTTTTAGGATTTTGGTCATGGGGTGTGCACACGCTTGCCAGAGAGGGAAATCACCACCACCGCCGCCCCCCTGGGGGTTGGGAGGATGGCCATGCCACAGTCCCTTCCCCTCCATTCTCCTCTCTGGATTTTGGGCTCTTGCAAGCTGTGGGGTCTGAGTTGAACCTCAGTCAGTCGTGTGGGAGTCTAGTGCCTTAACCACCGTGCCACCTGCTGTATCCATTGTTTTTACCCTTTTAAGAAGATCTTTGGGGAGCAAAAGTTTGTAGCTTTGACGAGGTTTATTTGTTAAGTTTTTCCTTAATGAATATTTTTTGGTACAAACTTTTGAGAACTATTCACTAGGTCTGAAAGATATTTTCCTAAAAGCTTTAGTTTTATATTTTACATTTAAATCAATGATCCATCTTTGAGTTGTTTTATTTTTTTCCCTCCAATTGCCAGACAATTTATGTGCTCACCAGAGACGAAGAGACAAGAGAGAGGGAGAAAGCACCCTACGGGGTGTGGTCATGTCACAGTCCCTTCTCTTCCATTTCTCCCATCCCGTTGGGATTCTAGGCATGTACAGATGTGTGTCTAGTGCTTTTCAAGCTGCTGGGGCCAGGATTTGAACTGCAGTTGGCTGGTTCCCTTAACAAGTAAGCTATGGGGCCGACTCTGAATGTTTATATAAGGAGGTTTAGATGAAGGTTCTACTTATTCTTTTCGTTTTGTCTATGTAATTTAATTGCCATCTTAAACTAAGTCATCTACACCATCTCTATTATGTATTATCATCACTAGATATCAGTTTACTTTTTGGTAATGCTAACCTGCTGGAAAAAAAAAATACAGGTTTTGACTGGGGGGAGAAGCAGGGTGATGGGGAGTATTGCAGTTTAGACTTGAAGCATATAGAACTCATCATGAAAAAACCAGAGGTAGGACAAGGCTGCCCAAGACACTGTGACTACAAACAAAATTGGTAAAAGTAACTCAGTTCTGCCCTTGTTCTGTGACTTCACATCTCTAATGGATCAAAAAAGAGATGATTGTCAGGTTTTTCGGTTTGCCTAGGGATCAGATCATAGCAAACCCAAAGTTAAAAAAAAAAAAAATCTAGAGGATCAATTTGCATGTAAATTATGCTAAAAAATAAAGAATACCTAAACCAGTGTTTCCAAAATTATTTGTGAATTACCTGAAAAAAATGTGCCATTATCTGTTTGTACCCATGGACTACTTCTTGATTTTGGTTTAAGCAGAAATAATAACTTCTTTAATATGTTTGTTTAATGGTATCAACACTATCATCAGGTGATACTTTGAAGACTGGTTAGCCACAATGTAAGATTTTATAAATAAAACAAAGACTTCTCAGATTATGAACACTATCATTTTCCTACATGAATATGACATAAAATCACTTCTCGATTTTACTGTGAGAATTTGGATCCAGACCTATTATTCTTAATAGAAATCAGAATGAATTATTAACATGTTGCCTCCTAGATGGTGAAAAAGGAATATGGCTAGGTAGCTGGAAAGGAAAATACATGACAATGTTTATAGCAGTGTTCACATTTTTCATTAGAAGGTATAAAAGATATGCTATCAGTACTGTTCCTTTTGTGTGCACAAGAAACAGCTGGGAGGTATATAGATCTGTACTTGACTTTCTTTTTAAAAGAATTATTTTATTTCACTTTATTTATTTATTTACTTATTTTAATTTGACCAGAGAGGGTCAGAGAGAGAAAGCGAGAAGGGAAGCCACCAGGGCCAGGATTCTAACTATGGTTGACCATATTGGAGTCCAGCGCCCTTAACCACCATGCCACCTGCTGGTCCCTGTACTTGACTTTTTATCAAGATTATCTTCCATCAAATTACTTATAACCAGGTTTCTGCAAGTCTAAAATTTTCTCTCCGCTGGATAAGAGTATGTAGTGGGAAGTTCAATTGATAATATTTTGATTAAAAAAACAAATTATAGTCAAGCTGTCTTAGTCTTAAGGATTTCTGGATTTCGTCCTTGGAGGAGGTCAGGATCTTCCCAAGGCCTGGGTCCTCGGATATTCTTCCAGTCATCAAAAGCAGAATCCTTTATTTTCTGTAGAACCACAAAAATTAAAGGAGATGTATTAGTGTATAAGCCTATGGTTCTGATTAGGACGTCACTGAATAAATAAATCAGTGGAAGGAATCCAGGGGACTTCATTGATAATGCTAGCAAGTAAACAAGATATCTCAGCAAGATATTTGAAGAAATATCACATTTATCTTAGAATTTAGAACTTTCCTTATTTGCTGTTGATATTAATGACTATACCTTTTTCTTCATACTAAGATTATAAAAGGAGGGGGAAAAAAAAAGTCCACATGCTCTATTTCTGAGAGCACCAAACAGGGCAAGAAGCTGAAGTAAAAAATCCTAAAGTTATGCAAAACAAAAGTCAAAACCTAAAGCTAACCCAGCATAATAACGACTAAGAGGATTAATATGGGTGATAGTAGAAAATGAGAACAAAAATGAAGACCCTAAAGTTTTCTATAAAGAGGAAAAGTCATCAAGATGACTTGTCTCGCACCTGAGAAATAACCCCTGGGCGTGAAGATGAAAAGACTTTTCCGAGAGCTACCCTGAGCAAAAACCCCTTTGAGCACTGAAGACTAGTTACAACTACGGTCTGGATCTTCCTACCTTCATTTAGTCTGAAGCATTTCTCAAGCCACAGGTATGATAAAAAGGAAGAACATAAATGTTTCTTCTCCTACTGACCACCACTTTGACAGTAACTTTTACACATTTGGTGCTTTGATCGTTCTGGAATAATTGAGTAAGATCAGAAATATACTCAAGATAAACAATTTTTCCTGTACTACTAATAATTTTTACTTTAAGGCAGATAGAACTAGTCACTGACTAGTAAGACTGTTATGAATCGGAAACTATTTTAATATACTGTACCTCGTACTCCGACTCTAACGATATTTTATTTGTTTTCAGTTTTTTCTCCAATTCAGGATCAATCTGTAGAAAAGAAAGAAGAGCTTTTAAGTCTGTTAGATTCAATTTTCAATTTTAAAAGTTATAGAAGAAATGACTGAGAATGTATGGCCAATTAGACAAACAGCAAAATCTCTATTATCCACTCCAGTCATATAATGATAACTAATGTACTACTAGCATCATTACTACAACTATATATATTATTTTTGAGCACCTCTTATGTGCCAGTATGTAACTTACATTATCTTGTTTAATCCTCTCAAAAATCTAAGCTGGCCCTTTTGCACTGCAGTTAAGTGCTGTGCACCAGGAGCCTGATAAGAAACAAAGATAAATTGAGTCTTACTTAAACTACAATCAAGTTATGACCTAGCACCCTTCTGCATGATATTAAGGGGATCAGACCCCTACTGTATCTATCTAGCAGAAAAAAAGGACAGATCCATCCAGGAGGCAAACAATACCATGTGGAACCTCTACAGATGGTGTTTACAGTGTCCAGTATTAAATAAAACAAATGAGGCATATAAGACAGAATCACATAATCAATGACAAAAGAACACCTACAGTTGACCTTATGTCAGAGACAGAACTTCAAAGTAACTATTGTGGCGAGCACTGCATACGGAAGCCATCTTGAGCTATCCGCCATCTTGGAAACCATTAGGCTTCACTTCCTCACTGAGCAAATCTTTTCTCAGAAATCATGTGACCAACCGTTCTCCCAGGAAGTGGTTGGGTTTCTAGGCAACAGGAGAGATCCACCCACATCAATGATTGGTTCATGCTGTTCTATCTCATTTGCATTTCAGGCAACCAGTTGGTTCCCACCAGCTGTATATAACTCGCCATTTCTCCTCAATAAACGGAAGTAGACGGAAGAAGACGACTTGATCAGCACCTTGTAGTGTGTGTGCGTGTGTTTGTCCCATCTCTCACTCCTTCCCCAAAGGAACCTGTTCAACTGTCCCACGGGCCAGGACAACTATAATTCATATATGTCCAAGGCATTCAAAAAATAAGATACCATAGACGATTTCTCCAGAGTGTCAGAATACATAATCAAGAATTAAATGGGGCGTGGTGGCGCCCGCCCTATGGCAAAAACCTATGGAGGCTGGAGGACTGCGGCATCAAGTCCATCTCACGGCCCCCCTCC